GGGATCACGATAAGGCTGCGTGCAACATAGAAGTGCATGCATCAGTGGAAGCAGTAGTCAGGGAACGTAGGAAGCGAGTTGCGGATTTTCGGTGGGTAAGGTGAGGTTTCGATTTGCTAATCCTTTCTGAGCCTCACCTTCGCCGTGCTCCGTCCCTAGCAGCAGCATCCTTCGATTATCATTTTGTAAAAGTATTTCACTAACAAGTAAGAGCAGCGGTATCCCATAACTCCCCTATAAACACGGTAAATCAAGCATCGTGTTTGTTGGCAGAACGGCTTTTATCGGTGTTAGACGTGCAAACGACCCCTCAGCTAGTTTCTGTCTCATCCATATCGCAAGTCAACGGGCAAAGGAGGAAGTCCCATCCAGGGTCAGCTGTCACGTGTTCTCACTTTTTCAGGAATTTTGCGACTCCCCTCCCCCCTTCAGAAACGTCTCGCTGCGACCCCCTCCACGCCATCTGTCTTAAAAGGCTCCTCTTAATACCCAGCTTTGCCCAATTTCTCCTCCAAAATGGTCGTCGAGCGAGGGGTAAGCCATGAAGCGGCAAATCCACCAATTTTGCCAATTCTGACTACCTTCTTGAAACCTTCATTGCCAAAAAGCCGTCTGAACGGCAACCCCCTTTTACGACCTCCGTTCGCACTTCTCCATCTTCTCCAACTCGATACTGCGACATTACTACGCATCCCCGCTTTCACCACGATCCAACTAGGTCTTATCGTGATCCTTACCTTGACTTTTTTTGAAAATTTCGGTGATATTTCGGTTTGTGAACATCCTTTTTCAGGCCTGAAGTACATTGACCAGTTGGTGGAATTATTTTTGATGGTTTCCCAAACCCACATAGATACCTACATGGATATGCCTCGGCCATGTGTGAAGCTACCCTTGCGGGAGCCACGCCTGATTTAATTACCCTTCAACTCAAATATTGGTAGCGGATGTCCTGTGACGATCATTGCATGTAGTAATGAAACTTGTGTGATCATCTTGTATAGTATTGTGGTGTACTTTCAGGTGTACGTGTTAGAGCAGTTCGATCCAGGCCTTGAATATGAGCCAGGAAAACGGCAGTTTTGATAATCCCAAACCTGGTTACGGATACAGTTTGCTCAAGAAGTCTTGGTCCTCCACTGGACCACGTTCCTCTCGTTTGGTGCACTTTCGGTGATACGATTCTCTGGTCTTCTTTCCAATTTTGTTTCGTATTTTTCAAACACTCCTCAGGGAGGATTTCCCATCAGTATTTGCCTCGATCATGAGACAAACGGATCGGTAAGGTGGTATCTCTATGACAACAGGCTTAGTCCACATCGTGTTCAAGATGTGTGGTTCATCTGATTTTACGCTCAATTCCATGCTAGGTTCAGGTCACAGCTCTCGTCATCTCAATTTCTATTCTATTGATTTATTGATTTATTTATGCGCGCATTGACGTTATCTATGTGAAAATTTATCGATTTTCTTCAGCTTGTTAATCTGCCGATTATAGAGCTTGAAGTATGTTTACTGTATTAACAGAATTTCACGAAGCGATACTTTCACTCTTTCCTTACATGAATAAGGGTATCTCATTGTATGAATTGATTGCCTTTGATTTTGACATTTTCTAAATGTTTTCTTTGAATAAATTTTCATATTGTAATGTTTTCACTTCGCCGGTCTTTGGACACTGAATCTTCTACAGTAGATTCGGCTATAAGGAGTTACAGGTGACACGGTACAGCGCTCACCCATCGACAACAGCCTCACGCGCGTGCGCGTCAACATTCTGCCATCCAAAGTTATGGGCCTTGTCGCGAGGATCGATTAGGAACACTTAATTACGTCTAGCTTCCTTCAAAAAAAAAAAAAGAACAGCTTCCTGGCATGCTGTCTTGATGACAGGTGCACTGTACCTGGGAATATTGCGTTCTTTCGATTGGAGATACTTTGCAATGGCGGACCGTAATGCGTCATGTCGAATATAGTCTGTCTTGTGATGGCGTATCCTTCGAAATAGGATAACGCTGCGTTCGCCATCAGTTTGGGATGTGTAACTAGTACTTCCACTGTGTACATTCGTTAGTGGCGTTTTTATGCGTATGGCCATACAATGACTGTGTGGTATCGTGCACTGCGAACATGAGTAAAATTTATTATTTAAACACCAGAAAAACAAACCGAACCGTGTCAGGATAATTAGAACAACAACAAAACAAACAGTACACCCTGAACATAAGCACTCGTGGGATGACCAGTAAATAATATTGAGCAGGGCAAAGGGAAGAATTAGCTGAACAAAGTAGGAACAGCCGATCTCATGAAGCACCGAAGAGCAGAGACTATGGATAAAAACCATAAGACAGAAAGAAACCCGCTGGAGAACCAAGGGCCACCATCGTGTCGATAAGCTGAAGAGTGGACGCGCCAGAAACCCCAAAACAAAAATCACCTTCAAAGCAAAGAAGGATAAGGACATTTGAGACTTCGAACACCCTCACGACAAGGCACAGCAGTGCCGGCGCCTATTCCAGAAAAAAGAACTAAGCAGAGTAGGGTCAGCCTGGCCAACGCAACTAGCCGAAGCTATTCGGGGCGGGCCAAAGATGCTGCTCATTAAGCTAAATACGTACCTCAGGCGTAACGACCAGGCCCAGGCGGCAAAAGGAGGGCCTAAGCCACCTGTTGACCCCACAAGCCTAGCAAAATAAAACACAAGGCGCCTACATTATGTGAGAAATGGCGTCGAGGTCCAGGAAGTGGGACGCAACGCAGTTTGACAAATCGAAGAAGACGCTGCTTGCGAGCCACAACACGCACTGACAACTCAGTAAGGCCTCGTAAGAACAGTAATGGCGGTGAAAGTGAAGAGCAAGAAACTAGACTAAGCCACAGAAACAGTCTAAGGGATCCGACACAACAAATACTACAAACACGAAAATGGCGTTAATCCCTGTTTTCTCTGGGTTATGCTAGAAACGTAAGAACGTAGTAATTTATAATCCTAAAAGAGCAGTAAGCATTAGTAAGAGAACGAAATTGATCAGACAGTTTCGCCACAGAATCCACACGAAGAACCGGTAAGAGACCGAGATTTCAACATAAAAATGTAACACAAGCTCTCGTGCAGAACAAGGTGCTTGAGCAAAAGGTGCCGTTAAAAGTCGAGATACCGCGATCATGTTGATGAAGGTCAATTGTAGAAAATGTCAGCACTTTCATGCAAGACGGCATATCTTCTCACGTACGCAGACAAGTTCAACTGGGCCAGTTGTATTGACAGTAGGTGCTCTCTGTCCTGTCGATTAAGAACGAATTGCTCCCTAAGCTTTGTAAATATCTCTGTACGAGATACCTAGGTCGGGGGACAGTAAATAGTTCGTCTATAACAAGGCGCGTTTCCTTGATCCGTTGGACGCGTGGCTTAAAAATTGCAAAAGCGACTGGCTTCGGGTAGAAGACATGTCTTTACCGCTTGTATCTGCAAGCCTCACGTCCGCAAACGAGTTGCGTCTGTAGAGAAGACTCCTGGAGCAGGGTCACGCCGTCGGCGCAAAGACAAGAGCGAGTCGGATATCTGGGGGCCCGACAAAGGGGGGGTAGGTTGTACACAAGGGACCAGCTTGCGTCAGAGTAGTATAGGCGAAGGCCGAGCTTGGTAGGGAATAGTCACAAAACATCAGTGATCGTAACTCAATTATCATCATTTTCAGGTGGGCCCGTTTCGTAATCGTATTCTCTTGCGTGAATTACTTATTGCTGCCGGCGAAACGCGCTGTCTTCAGCACACTTCTATTCAGACCTAGCTTTATCTTGAAAAAAAGCGTGGCATAGTTGCCGAAACTTGAGCAAGTCCCAAGCAGGATATCAAATGAAATTCAATTGTGTTTGTTTTACAGTTATAGTTAGTCGTAATTGTAATTTGTTGACTTATCATAACTTTTACTGTTGACGCAATAAGCGTTACAAATAGGAGAATAACAGAAGAATAAAAAGATCAAAAGCTTGCAGTTGTATCACATTCTATGTTAATAGCATAGTCAAAGGGTGAAAGAGAAGGTGAAGAGCTATTGATGAGAAAAAGATTTGCTACCGAGATAGTCTGCTATCAGGTGTAACTTCTCATTAGAGGGTAGTGGTGGAATAGTTTGTATTCCAAGTCGTTCATAGATCTTGTTGAGATGCATGTGAGTATCCTTCGATGTCCTCCCAAAATTTGAGGAGCTTGTCAAAATCTCTTTGCAGTCTCGCGATAAGTTTCTTGATCCATAGAACCTCTATCTGCAACATGCGTTTGTTCAATAAGGATAAAAATTAAAATAGTGAAACGCACCTTCATTCTTGCCTCCACTGTTGGCTTTAGAAATCTCAAGACTGATTTTTCAAATCGATCACCAGGTTCTGGATACTTAAAATTTAGTTTGTTATGTGCCGGGGAAATGCATCCGTCTGCAGCATCCTCGTCTTCATCGGACATTACTAAAGCACATTACATATACACACGTATTTATATCATTGTTACACAAAGTGATCAAAGAGGACTACATTCAAAGAACCACAGATATGTGGCCACCAGGGAATTGACCCATATCACTGAGTAATGTGACAAAGGGGTGGAAAATGCTTTATTATTCATTGAACTTCTGCAGAGGAGCAACTGAAAAATATGGGAGTGTGCGACGCAGTAAGAAAGTTGATTTGTTGGAAACCCTGATACAGTATTGTTTTTCCGAGTTTTTCCGTTCTGAAGCAATGTTGACAAGAGGCGGAGTCACATCTGTATGACTGCGTTTTTGTATTAATTGTAGTCGCCTATGAAAGAGAATAAAATGACGCATGTTGTCATACATTGAAAAGTGGATAAGGTTTTTAGCATTCATACTCTATCGATCATGAAGAAGGACAGTATTAACAAAGTATGAATGTTGCATGCTTCCCAGTATCTTTCTCTTGACAAGAGCGTATCTTTCAGAGTCGCGCCTTTTATTTATTTAGCTACGGTCGTGACTTGACATGTAGTCCTGACAAGTGAAACAACAAATGAATCAAATCACGTACATAGCAACCGAAAACGGCGTGTTTATATGACCAGAATTCAATTTGTTGAATTGTGGCAAATACCTGTTCTGATTAGCTTCTTTCCACATTATTTCATTTGAACTATTCAGAATCTATCGGTAGAGGATGGCATGTGTTGTGTAAGTCCCAGCACGGGACGTGGTTTTATCCACTGGTCCACTAACGCTCTAGGCCTAATGGTGAGGACACTGGGTCCATCACGTTGTATTCTGAAGTATAATGTTTTAGTTGACATGAGAATGATTATAACGCAAAAAACTATCACATAATCGCATTCAAAGCTGAATAACAGAGGAAACTCACGTCATGAGATCATTCAAGTTTATTTCCACATTTTTCCTCGTTCGCCTCTTGTCAGCCTGTTTGCTTGTGAGAAACTGCGTTCAGGGTCGGCATTGCTTGCAGGAATTACAAGTATGCATTTTATCGCCTGAAACTGAGAAGGTGAAATGCTGCATAGAACGTTTCGCAAGACCTTACCTTTTGCACAGTAGGAGGTATCTCCAGGTCCTTTGGCATTGTTGAGCAGCGTTGGTAGAACCGAATACTAGTTTTATCTTTTCTCAGATTACTAGGCCATGTGGTCATTCTTGTGACAGATCTCGCGATTGAGTTGTAAAATTCCATGAAATGCTTTTTCGACCCTGGTAAGGAGCAAAATTTTTCAATGGCATTTATAGATTGCATTATGAGCTCATGTCTTTCAGTTTTGTCCACATTATTCTCGTCGCGTCAATATTACACAGGATATCCACGAGTTGCCGCAGAGGCGTCGGGCAGAATGCAGTTCTTGAAGGATTCGTAATCGCCATTGCATTCAATGATGTCGAGGATGATATGTCTATCCAGCGCGTAAGGGAACGAAACGGTTGCCTCTGTGGGACGCTTTTCCGGCTCCATATAGTGTCGGAAGCTTTTTCGCACATCTTCATACATAGTGCTGACACAATCCTTTGTTTGTCTTGCTGCTACGATCTGAAGGTATGCTTCACTGAGGGTGACTGCGTTAAAAAAGTTCGGCATCGAAAAAGTCCAATTTTGAGTGCAGAACCACCTTCCGAGAGTTGAGAGGCCAACGATTGTGTAGTCTCGAGAGGCCAGAATTTTTGTTTTCCTCGCAACGATGCTGTTTTTTCTCTTCGCTCAGCGGGGAGTTGCTGCACGGCTAATCTATTGTAGTCAGCGAAAAAGGAGGGGGCATAGCTAAGCAAGTTCCTCTGAGACAGGGCCCGGTCGTCGGAAAACGTATAGTAAGCCTTCACGAAAGCGGAGTTCACTCCGTAATACTGACCGCTTTGAAAGTCGTATAAAGCGAATAGCCCGCTCTGAGTGAGATATTCATACAGTTTTTTTAAAGTTTTGACTAAGCAAAATTGAAGCGCCTCCAGTGGAGAAGGTAGTCGACCATCAATGATTATGCAAAGTTAAGGAAGTTATTGAATGTTCGAAAAACTAGTCGTTGCGTGTGCACAGGAAACGGAACGACGGTACGATTTTTTTAAATTATAGCACATTTGCAACATTTCAAACGCTTTTTATAAAGAAAACTATTTGAATTTTTAAAATTTTGGTGTCCGGTTCCATGAGAATGACTGCGAGCGAAGTTATAAGCTTTTAAATAAGGGGGTCCGTAACTACATCAAACCTAGTATATCGGGTTATACGGAAAGCAGATTAGGAAGTCCGCGGAAATCTTGGCAGATACCTGAAATTACAAAGCCCTGGGAACAAAAATGTACCTAAACGAAACAAAAACGTGAAAAAATCGCTGATTTACTCAAATTTAAAACATTAATGTCATTTTCCTTGATTTCCCGGTCATCGAGCAGTGGAAATGCGACGCTCCGATCGCACCTTAGCCGCGGTATACGCGCGATTTTACATTTCAATATCGGTCAATAGTTTTTTGTTGTCAGAATGTTGTTGCTGTTTTGTTTTTGCTCCATTGTTGGTTTGCCATGAAGCTTCTACAATGTCCTTTGTTATTTATCGTTTTTGTGAGATTGGTGATTCGCTGGAGGATTTTCGCACCGCCGTTTCGCGCTCGTCGATCTCCGATTGACTTAATCGATAGACACCCATTTCTTTTGAGGATTCGCAGATTCGAAAGCGCGGTTCGACGCTCCTCCCATTTTGTGGATCCATAGGCATTTGAATCGTTTCGCAGATCCGCAAATTCGGTCGTTCCTAGCGTCATTCGGTTGTGGCGCGAGATGTGAACAGTGCGGACAAGTACTTATTGTTGTGTTTCAGGCCAAGCGCTGAGGAGCGCTTTTTCCACGGATTCGTCTGGTTTTCTCCCGTGAGTTTTTTCACGTTTCCATTTGAATTTTTTTCGCGAAACCTGCGATGGATCGCAGGAGTTAGGACGTATTTATTTCACTTATGAGGTGGATGTGAACTGTGCCTGAGGTGCGCTTTCAGAAAATTACAAGTATACCTAACTCTTTCCGAAAGTACTTCTGTTAAGTTAAAAGTGGAAAACACAATCTGAGAAGGCGCACCTCTAACTTTGAAGGCCCATAAGATCTTTCGTATGCGACATTTTGCGTAAAAAAATTTTTACTACTTCGTTTTCTCTAAAAACAGTATAAAAGTTTAGTGATTGTCCCCTTTTTCAAAAATTGTCCCGTTCGAACATTTTTCGTGCAAAAGCGAGTTTTTGGGCTTTCAGCGACCATAACTCACTTCATTTTCATTTCTGTGATGCACTTTTTTCATGGGGTGAAAGTACAGGATTTGCTCTTTCTTATGAGCACTGAACCGTTTCTCAGAGTTCATTTTGCGAGAAAATCACACGTTCGAACATTTCAGAGGGTTTTGCCGAACACATTTTTGAAATCGCGAGTTTTTGGGCTTTAAGCGGGCATAACTCACTTCATTTTCATTTCTGTGATGCACTTTTTCATGGGGTGAAAGTACAGGATTTGCTCTTTCTAACAAGCCCCAAACCGTTTTTCAAAATCATTTTTCCGAGAAAATCACACGTTCGAACATTTTGTTCCCATAGGTTTTTGAGCAGCACATGCGAGTTTTTGAGCTTTCAGCCATATTAACTTTCTTCGAAGAACTTGTTGGGGAAACTGGGGAAACTTGTTAATGAAATTTGTTGGGAGAGGCGAAGACATCTTTTGAAGACTACGAGATTTCTGCTTTTATGTGTTTACCGTTGTCTGGAAGAATCGTCCTCAGAAAATTAGGTCCCGAAGAACTTTAATTTCAGCCCCGAGAAGTCAAACCTTTCATAGGGATGCATTCAACTGTTCTTTATTCCTCAAGGAAAACACCGTAATTTGCCTAAAACTGTCTCTCTGTGCATAATTAATAGAATCTAATGCGGTCTGCACAAGCAATTCTTGCCCACGGAAAAGCCAGCGCCTGTGGATGGGATTTGGAAGTCTATTTCATCTTGGTGTGACCCAGATTCTTTCTTAATTCTTTCTCAATTGCTCAGTTCTTGGCACTGCTATCATGCTCCGATGCGACGAAGCGAGCCCTCCCTGAAAGCTTGGCTGATGACAGAAAGATTTTTTCATAATATATAGCAATTCCCGCGGAGAAACACTTAAGGACGAAACGGGCGAGCCTAGAAAAAATAATCATCTCCAGTTTATGACAACTTCATAGTCTTTGTGAGCGTTCCTCCCCAGTTCCTTCATCCACTGATTCCAAGTTGGAAGTGTCCCGATGGGTACTGCGAGGTGCTGTTATGCCGCTGCGAGTTCTGCTTGACAGGAAGAATTCTAAGACGACTGTTTGTGATTCTTTTTGTTCCATATCCATTGTCTGTTTTCTCCATATGCAATGTTAAATGTTGAATCCGTTAATTTGCAAGTTCTCGGATGTAGTGGGGTTTTCTTGATCGCTTTGGATCTCGAAAAGTTCCATTGACGTGTTCCATTTGACATTATAAAACACTCTTGAGACAAATAGAATCAGGAGCAGTTTGTCATTCAGCATATAACAAGCACAAGACATATGAGAAATATATTTTTCGGCAACAAAATCTTCTAGTGTGGTTGAACGGTCCAGTCCAGCATATGGCGGAGGGAGGCGCAGGGCCGCGTTTAGTGCGCCGTGTACTTTGTTTCAAACAACAATCCCAAGCAGGACAGTCGTGTATAGAATTGTGTTCATTTGCGTTAGACGTTAGAGTACCTACGCTGCAGCTGATTAGCGTTGTGGCGTGGGCCAGCACGGTGCTGGAGTCTTCAGGCTTTCTTGAACGACTAGTCTAGCGTCACCTGATACGATGGTATTTGGAGCTCGCCCCCGACGCGACCGACGTGACACCACGCCACAGGCGCTTGTTTGTGGTCTGCGTGGTCGTCGGGCACAGTGACTGTGTTCGTGTGGTGAAGCGGCTTCATTTGCCCTAAGAAGTTTGGTGGGCAGTTTCTGAAAAATGTTGTCGTCTAAGCGTTCTTCTCAGTGCTAGGGGTCCCTGTTGAGCCCCTTCCAAACGTTTTTCTTCGGTTTTTCTTCACTATTGATCAACTTCCCACTTACACCTACAACATCACGGTTTTTACCCCAATAATTCTTTCTGGGATTCTTCAACGTAAGCCAATTGATTGTCAAACGATTTCGGAGATAGGGGAATAGGCGGTAGGGACTGTGATAAGGTGGATCTACGGAGATGCTCCGCTGAAGATTCATACGTTTGCCAGTGAGTAGTGGTGGATTAGTATGATTGCTTTATTTACCGCTTATGTTGACATGTTTTTTTAGCAGAGTGTTTCTGATGGACCGTTGCCTCCTTTTCCACGTCCGGGTGCTTTTATGTTCTTGCGGTGAGCTTTCAATAGGTTCATTTTCTCCTCAGATTCGAAGTTGCTAATTTTTAGATGGTTCTACCGGATATCACTAGGTTTCTATTGACAGCAATGTCACGTCCAGAATGGCATAAGGACAAAAAGGGACACATGGATTATCTTTCTACATGCTGCTTTTCGGCTTCATTTCTGGGTAATCTCTTATCGATGGCGTTTGTGCTTTTCATAGCGGCTAATGTTTATTTGCTTGTGAGTTGTCTTACTATCTTCCCTCCTGACATTGCACTCTGATCGCTTATGATATTATTTCAGATTTATCTGAGAAAACATCGAAATAATCGAAGGCACCAAGCCGGGCAAATTCAAGGCAGCTGGCGCGATCGCACCCTGCGGATCGACCTATGATCGACTTATGAAGACGGCGCTCTCATCTAATCTGAAACTCGAAGTGCTTTGGTTTTTTTCAAAGAAGGAGATATACGCGTATATAAAAATTTATTGTATCCGTTGGGAACTGAAATAAAGAAGGAAAGAACACACTTTGCCTTTATTACACGAAAGCATAATACACACAAATACACTGCTAATGCACCAAAAAACACACGCGCTCAATGAGGGGGGGGGTCGTACTGACACCCCTCAAAAGGGGGGGTCGTAAAAAATTTGGATTTTGCGCAACGCAGGGTTGACCCTGTAGAGAAGACTTCTGAGGCCTAGCTCTTTTAGTCGAATACTGTAAGGCGGCATTGATCGGGGATATCCAGGGTCGGGAAACACCCGGAAGTACAGAAGTCTTGTGAAGGTCATCTGAAACCTTTTCCAACTGGGAAGTAAGCTTTTTGGAGTGAGGGTTCCAAACCTGACTACAATATTCGAGAATAGGACGAACATAAGTTTTATACAACTTGAGCAGAACGGTTAAATCTGTAGTTTTGACTATTCTGAACAAACTGTATAAACATCGCAAAGCCCTAGACCGAATACCATCAATGTGGAAATCCCAGCTAAGTGAGTTGGAAATAATAACGCCGAGATCTCGTGTTTGATCAAGAATACAAGAAGAAGGTATGTCAGCCGGGGATAGATCAGTTGGCCGGTTACCCAGGGAAAGCACGCAAGTTTTATCGAAATTAAGCCTGAGCCCCCATTTACTGGTCCAGGAAGACATGCGATCAACCACACAGTTCAACAAGGTCTTCACTTCCTCAAAATTGTTGGTATCAGAAATCGCAAAAACTTTGATATCATCTGCAAACGCCGCAACATGGACAGCAGGGTCTATACGAAGAATCCGAGGGGAGATCCATAGTATAGATGATGAACAGGAGGGGGGAAAGAACCCCTCCCTGGGAACCCCGGAAGAACACTGATGTCTGCGAGAAAAATTGTTGTTCCATCTCACAACAAAGCTTCTGTTCGAAAGGTAGGACTTCAGCCACTGTAACAGCAAACCTCTTATACCCACACACTCAAGCTTCTAAAGAAGCTTATGATGGTCAACAGTGTCAAACGCTTTGCTAAGGTCAAAGTATATTATGTCGACGTATTTCGACAAACTGAGCGCATTGAACCATTCATGGGTACATGTTACAAGCTGTAAGCAAGTAGAGGAGTCCTTAACAAAGCCAAATTGTTGACGAGGGATGAGATTGAAACGATTGAGCCAGTCTAGGAAGCAGGATTTCAAGATCTTTTCCATGATTTTGCATGGAGTGGGCATTATGCTGATTGGTCTAAATTCGTTGGGTAGAGAAGAAGAGGACTTCTTAGGAATAGCTGTAACTATAGACTCCTTCCAGAGCCCAGGGACCTGTCCCATGATGAGCGAAATGTTGAAAATGTGACATAGGGGTCTAGCGAGCTTACTGGCAAACATTTTATAGAAAATCGACGGTATCCCATCAGACGGAAGGGCTGACGAACTCTCAACCACACGTAAGTACTTGTAAACAACCGAATAGTCAATGAATGGAAGAGGACAATCGTGACGCACCAAAGGATCAACGGCAGAATCATTATCGTAGGCTGAAGTATTAGTAAAAACGCTTGCAAAAAAGTCACCCAGCACATTAACTTTGTCTTCGTCGGAAGTAAGAACCCTCCCATCGAGATCATGCATGCACGAAAGCTCTTCTTTTTCCCCAACCGCCTACTGATATAAGAGAAAAGGTTTTTCATATTTCTGCTACCAGAAAGTTTCTTGTTTGTACGCCAAGTATCGCTTGAGATGAAACAGAAAATCTTTGTTAACTTTGATATACTCACTAGAAGACAGGGGGTCCTGGAGAGAGCGAAATAGTCTTTCTCTCTGATGGTAGAGATTTCTAATATGTGGTGGATATGTATCGACCAGGGGAACAGAGATCTTAATTGGGACAAAGTTTTCAATAAGCATGCGCAAAACCATGACAAATCTTTCATAGACATCATCGACAGTGTTATAGCCATTGAAAACCGCGAACCAATCAATATTATCAAGCTCTGACTCAATCGTTTCAACATCAGCGTCATGAAATCTCTCCAACTGCGCCCGGTCAAGTCAGCGAATGAGATTTTGATCACGAAATTTACGATACAATGATCAGACGCTTTTAATGGGGGACTAATTGACACGTCAAAACATAAATCAGGAGCGGCGAGAATAATATCAAGAATAGAAGTACCGCAAGTAGGCATAGACACATGCTGAGTTAACCCAAGTTGAGAAAAAAGCGAGAGAAAACGGGAAAATCTACTTTGGCGGGCTGCAGGGCCACTTGCGTATGCCCGAAACCAATCAATATCGAGGTTTAGATCACCCAATATAACCACCTTACAAGAAGTGGAACACAAATCCGACAGCAAGCTACAAAGCTGATCGTCATCCGGCACACACTGATTTGGAGGGCGGTAAACCACTATAAAGCGAATGTATTCTAAGGAAGTGCCCAGAGTTTCAAAACAGAGAACATCGGCGTCCATGACTGGAGCATCAAAATAAACTTGACGAAAATCGATATGATTTTGCAAAAGAACACACAGTCCTCCGCCCCTTTTACCTATTCTATCCTTTCTAATAATACTGTATGGGGGATCTGCTAAGACTTCACTATCAGGAATTTTGGCATTAAACCAACTTTCAGTCAAAAAAACGATTCGGGGTTTGACGCAAGAAATAAGATGATGAAATTCGCTAAGTTCATTAACCAAACTACGCGCATTGAATAATACACACGACAATGGGGCACAACATGATCGTCTATTCAGTTTTTTGAGTTTTTTGGGCTCTGCCTTAGAATACTAGGTATATCCGACCGTTTGACCACTTGCTGCCTGAATACAACATAGACCTTTTCTCCGCCCTGAACCGATTGGTTCAACTCATTAGCTCTTGCTCTGAGCTGTTTTCCCTTCTCAAGTTCAGCAGGGGTCATGGAACGACGAATGAAAACATTTTTAAAAATTTCAGAATTCTTCAAAAGCTTCGCATTCTTAAGAGCATCGAAGAAGAACTTACGGGAAGAAAAGACGCATTTGATGAGACGACATTTACCCTCTTCACGTCTACTAAGCCTATAGACTTCGGCCGGGCGTGCCTCAACATCCAAAGCATCTAACAACTCACTCACCGCTTTCTCGGTAGCTTCTTGTCGCTTGGATGGCGGTAAACCAGCATCCAGTTCGGGAAAAAAGTAGCCACGTTCTTGAATTTCCATGCCACGCAACAGTGATCAGAGGTGCTGAAGTGGGGGGGGGGAGGATGGCGAGATCGTCAATCATTGCTGGATCAGGTGTGATAACTAGATCGAGTGTGTTCAAACCGTGGGTGGGTTTCCTGACTAACTGAGTCAAGCAATGGGAAAGGATAAGGTCAATAAAGGCTGATGATGAGGATGACGATAGACCTCCACGGTGGATCAGACGTTCCCAATCTATCAATGGGAAATTGAAGTCACCGACGATAAGAAGTTTCTGAGGCCTCTCGAGACATAGTTCCTCGAGATACTCAAGAAGACCTGCAAAGGCGGTAGTTGTGGTCGAGGGGCTTCTATAGACTGTGACAGTAACAATTTCACTACCTTTCAGATTGATGTAGACGGCAACTGCCTGACAAAATTCAGAAAAATTTCTTGCTGATATCAGATGTTGATCAATTTCCTTACGTATTAAAACAGCTACACCGCCGCCTATCCTATCGCCGTCCCTGTCGCAGCGGTACACGAGGTATTTATTACCATAACTTAAAATGGCGTCATGAATTGTGTTTGGCTTGCACCAAGATTCGGTGATAAAGACTGCATGTGGTCCTTGGGCCAAAAGGTAGTTAAGGTCAGGAATTTTGTTTGTTATGGAACGGGCATTGAGAAGAATAAACTTATTACTCGGCGTACAGTCCGTGCCACCATTAGAGAGGGGTAGGTAGAGGTGACGAGAGCTGGAATCTGTGACGCCTACCGGGGATCCCTAACGTGAGGAGGGGCTGCCAAGTAAGGGAAACGATCCAGCAACCAAGCGAGTTCCACTGCGAGCCGGCTGCGGTCCATGCTCATTTCCAGTTGACTGCTCACCAGGTGACTCAGTAGCGATCTGTGTGGTTGACCTCCAAGCAGGCAGGGGGCGAGGTGTTCGCAGTTTGTGGATCGATAAGTCCCTTACGACGTACACAAGTTTACCTTCCTGATCATTCATCATACCAGCCTTTTTCCGAAGATATCTGTCGTATTCTAGCTCCTCTCTTGTATAGTCTTTCCTAGCGTATGAGTGGATGAAGTCCTTCGTCAGAGATTGTCGTCCCATCCTCATATACGATAGAAGTTTGTCCCGAAGTTCCTGCGAGCGGAGTTTGATCTTTAGAATCCTAGGTCGGGAAGGCGACGGAAGATCTTTATCGTAGGAGGATGGCGATGAATTTCGATATGTCCGCGGTTCCACTCCGTGAGCAGGTCTTCCTCATGCGAGCTCTCGATGACTTCCTTCAGAGCCTCCTTGTCGAAAGCTGCAGTAGCGAGGTGATCTTTGTTCCCCGATCCCTACCCACGTGATACCGCAGGCTTTCGCGCTCACAGCTTCGCATCGTTCTGAAATTTGACAAGGGTGCTATACAAAGCAGGCGCCGTGTCTCCGTCACCTTGCGCCATGCATTTTTTTTCTAAATAGGTAAGCCTACTCAATATCTGATTTTGTGTTTCCTGCATTCTGATTAAAATTTCAAAGAATTTGTCAAAACGGGAGAAATAGTCGTCCCACCTAGTAAGTATCGTTTGTAGCCATGCAGGAGGTTGCTCATCTTGAGAGTCCGTTCGAGCCTTTCTCGGAGCCATTCGTTCGAGGTAGATGGAGAGCTGCAGTAGAGCCGCCGTCCAGGAGAGGTGACCCAGGTCGTATGACGACGACGTATGACTTTATTCAGACCCCTTGTACAATTCGACAGAAGACGCCCATTTTCTGACCTAGAATCAAAAGTAGCCTTCATCAACCAGGACTACTCTTCTTTCCGCACTGACCAGGATTTCGCACATAGTTGCTTATGCAGTATGAGCCGGCCGGGGAGGCAGTTCTGCTCCTCAGCCATCCCACTTCAGTAAGTGCTCTGGCTTGAGCTTGTTACTGGGAAGAGAGGCGAGTAACATGAGGTAGAGACCCGATGACGACTGATCACACATACAGGGGGGGGGGCAAAAAAAAGACATTTTGCCTCCACTTCCAGATGGATTTAAGCACATTTTACTCAACTCAGACCGAACGGTTCCAACTTATTATTAAAGAGCGCATTCCATTCTATAAGAAAATCTTCATAGTGGCCACCTACGTGGACGGCATCAGAAGAATTTGCCCTGGAAACATGGTGCACTGGTCGAGCTCAATGGGGTCTTCGAAGGATCGTGTACCATAACGACCTTACTGGAAAGCTAGTTCCGAGGGGATTTGCACAGTGGTAGCTAATGCCTCTAGCCTCTAGAAAACTATCCAACATTAAATCGATTCACGAAATTGCGTAAGAGCTTCAGGCTGAAGCTCTTACGGTAGACCTCCTTGAGCCTGACGACGGTGACAGATGACGTCATATTCTGAAGACGGTGAGGGCAGTGAAGGAGGGCCTGCGTACACTTATAGAGGGACACTTAGGGGAATACTCTGCTGAGGAACTCCCGTCAACGACAGGCAATCTCTGCGAAGAAAAAAGAGCCGAAGTCCGACATAGGCAAAATGTCTTTTTTTGGCCCCCCCCTGTATATCCCGCTTCCCTGATTCCCTTCACGGATCATGAGAAATGGAAACTTTTTATGAGTGGCCGATATTCATGAAACGGTGAAAATTCGTTCTGAAAAAGTTAATTGGGTTACTTGAGGGGGGAACTTTGTCAGAAAAACACTGAAGGTTTTCCGTGATGAGGAATCTAATGGTGATAGCAGCATTTCCAAAAAATGCACAGCAACTAACTACTTCGAACAAGTTCAGTACCAGCCGATCCTCCTAGAAGGCCAGGAGATCGAGCGAGTCTCCTCTTACGTATATCTCGGTAAAGCGGTCAACATGAATAACGATCTCACGCTCGAGATTAGCCGACGCCGCAGAGCGGGCTGGACCGCGTTCAATAAACTTCGAGATGTACTAACTTCTAAGCACGTCGACCCCGGGTCAAAGCTCACGTCTTCAACTCGCATGTTCTTCCCGCGATGACCTACGGGGCGGAGACGTGGAGCACCACAGTCTCTGAAGAGGAGAAACTCGCAGTCACTCAGCGAGCCATGGAGAGGGCCATGTGCGGGGTAACGCTCCGAGACCGCATACCCAATGACACCATCCGCGCTCGTACGATGGTGAAGGACGTCGTCGATGCCATCTATAATTCCAAGCGGAGGTGGGCCGGTCATGTGGCTAGACTTACCGATGATCGCTGGACGAAGAGAGTGACTGACTGGTACCCAAGGGGAAAAACAAGGCCCAGAGGCAGACCCCCACCAGATGGGCAGACCCTCTCGTGAAGATGTACGGCCAGTTGTGGCGCAGAAGAGCCCGAAGCAGAGCGACCTGGAAGATGTGCGACCTGCGTTTCTGGCGTGCCCGGGACGAATAGCGGTCGAGAAGAGCACAGCAACTTTGGGGTAGTGTTGGGACACCTAGTGATCTCTTTCTTTTGTACTTGATCTGTAACCTACGCGACCTGCTAGATTTTGACCAGAGATCTGGCGGGCCAGTACGGTATATAAGTGTACAGTTTCATTGTAGTTCAGTTCAATGTCTTCCAATAAATATTCTGCTACTGCCCGTCTTCCGAAGGACACAACAACTGGCGATCAGGACAACGACTTCAAGGACCACGCCGCCTTCGCCGGGATGCAAGAAGACACTCACTTCAAGGACCTGCTGCAGATGATGGCCGCTCAACAGAAGCTCCTCGTCGACCTGCTCCAGAAGATGGCCACGCCCACAGTCGCGCCGCAAGAGACCGTATTCGACCGGGTCTCAAGGAGAATCGAGAAGTTCTCCTACGACGCTGATCAAGATGACTGCTTCGAGCTATGGTTCAACCGGCACAAGGACGTGTTCGAGGTCGACTGTCAAGGGATGGACGAAGTGTTGAAGACACGCTTGCTCGTCTCTGCGCTGGACGCTACAAGTCACACTCGCTTCGCTCGTCACATCCTCCCGAAGGAGCCAGGAGAGCTGAACTGGACGGATACTGTCGCAACCTGAAGGCGCTATTCGGCACCAAGAAGAGCGTCTTCCGCCGCCGTTTCGAATGCTTCCGGATGAGCTTCTCGCCCAACGAGGACATCGACAACTTCGTCAATTTGCTCAAGGCTCGCGCTCTAGAGGCCAACTTCAAGGACATCAGACAGGAAACGCTAGAATGCCTGGCCCTGGTGTTCGCCTTCCAAGCCCCAGAGCTAGCCGACTATCGTGTTCGCTTCCTTCGCAAGCTGGACGAGGACGAGAAGATCACTGTCGACGATTTGGCTAAGGAGTACCACGCCTGGAAATCAGGTCAAGGATGACTCCAAAATCGTCGAAGCCGCCAACTCACCGGAAATCCGCGCCGTCCAGAAGAGGAAGAAGCATCGCCTCTCTCTCCGCAATCAAGCCTCGACTTCCGCCATCACCGTGTCCGATCTGTCAGCAGCAACATTGGAAGAAGGATTGCCCACAGAACCGCAACGCTACCAGTGCCGCTCAGGAGTCAAGGACTGCGCCACGACGTCGCATCAAGCAGTCATCACCGCGCACGTGGTACCAACGAGCCATCGGCCGCTCTGGAGATGTCCAAAAGTACCTGGAAGTTCACATCAATGGACATCCCACTCGCCTCCAGTTGGACACCGGCGCCGACGTCACCATCATTTCTCGCCCAACCTGGATGCAACTCGGAAGCCCGCGTCTACAGAAGACTTCCGACGTCTTCAAAGGAGCCAACGGTCTACCACTACCGATTCACGGAAAATTCGACGCTGTTTTCGTGGTAGTGGACAACCAAGGAAAGGCTCATCCTGGACAAGGCGTCTGCTACGTCTCCGACGACAATGACCTTCTCGGCATCACATGGATCGAACAAATTCAGGATTTCAACTCAGTTCTGAAGAGATTCAATATCCAGAAGGTGCAGACGCTCGACTACGACGCAATCCGAGACCAGACGATCGCCAAGCTGAAGCACCACTTCATGGATGTCTTCAAGCCAGAACTTGGATGCTGTACCAAGGCCAAGGCGACGCTCTACCTCAAGCCCGATGCTCGCCCGGTTTTCATCAAGAAGAGACCGGTTCCCTACGCCTCTGTACCGCTACTCGACGCCGAGATCGACCGTCTCGTGGCACAGAACGTCATCTCCGCCGTCGACCATTCGCAATGGGCCGCGCCAATCGTCGTTGTGAAGAAGGCCAATGGATCCATCCGACTTTGCGCCGACTTCTCGACGGGACTCAACAGACGACATTGCTAGTTGCACCCCACCCCCCCAGAACACCCATTGCCCACCGCAGAGGACGTCTTCACCAAGCTCAATGGCGGAACCGTCTTCTCTCAGATCGACTTCGCCGACGCCTACCTACAGGTCGAAGTCGACGACGACTCCAAAGAGCTCCTCTCACAATCAACACGCATCGAGGACTCTACCGCTACAATCGCTTGCCGTTTGGAGTCAAATCAGCGCCTGGCATCTTCCAGCAGATCATCGACTCCATGATCTCTGGACTCAACGGCGTTGCTGCCTACCTCGACGACGTCATCGTCACCGGCCGCACACTCTCCGAGCACAACGCCAACCTGGAAGCCCTCTTTTCAAGGATATCCGCCTACGGCTTCCGCGTCCGTATCGACAAGTGCCACTTCGTGATGACCCAGTTGACCTACCTTGGAAACGTCATCACCGCTGCTGGACGCCGACCCGATCCCAAGAAGATCGATGCCATCACTCAGATGCCAAAACCGAAGGATACCGCCCAGGTCCGGTCATTCCTCGGTCTCATCAACTACTACGGAGCGTTCGTCCCAGAGATGCGCCAGCTCCGTGCACCGCTCGACGCACTACTCAAGAAGGATGCTCCGTTCAACTGGAATCCCGAATGCGACGCCGCTTTCGAACGCGCCAAGGAAGTGCTCGCTTCGGACCTGCTCCTGACTCACTACAACCCAAATCTGCCAATCGTCATCGCGGCCGACGCTTCAGACTATGGAATAGGAGCAGTAATCTCTCATCGTTACCCGGATGGAACAGAGAAAGCCGTCTACCACGCTAGCCGCTCTCTCACTGCCGCAGAGAAGAATTACGGTCAAATAGAGAAGGAAGGGCTCGCACTCATCTACGCCGTGCGCAAGTTTCACCGCTATATTTACGGACGCCACTTCACCCTTCTCACGGACCACAAACCACTCTTGGCTATATTCGGATCGAAGAAAGGAGTCCCTGCCTACTCGGCGAATCGCCTTCAACGCTGGAGACTTACGTTGCTCGCCTACGACTTCGACATCGAGTACCGGAGCACCACCAACTTCGGACAGGCCGACGCACTCTCTCGACTCATCTCCGCTCAATCGCCTCCAGAGGAAGACGTTATAATCGCCAAAATCGCCAGGGACGTCAACGCCATCTTCTACGACAATGTAGGCCGTCTACCGGTCACTGCCAACGATGTAGCACGTGCCACCGCTGAGGACGATTGCCTACGTCAAGTCCTAGACCACGTCGTTCACAACAACTGGCCGAAGAAGCCATCACCTACCGTTGCCAGTTACGCCCACCTGCGCAACGACCTTTCGACAGAGCAAGGATGCCTACTCTTCGGGAGCCGAATCATCATCCCTCCTGCACTCCAGCCGACCGTTATGAAGGCACTCCACGAAGGACATCCAGGAATGAATCGGATGAAGGCCCTCGCTCGCAGCTACGTATTCTGGACGAAGATCAACGACGACTTGGAGAAGCTAGTTCGCAACTGCGCCAACTGTCAAGAAGCTGCCAAGTCGCCCATCAAAAATACGCTTTGTTCGTGGTCCCGCCCAGATGCGCCATGGAGCCGGATCCATATCGATTTCGCCGGCCCAGTGGACGGGATTTCCTATCTGGTGGTCGTCGACGCCTTCTCCAAATGGCCTGAAGTCATTCCAATGACTTCCACCACCAGTACCGCCACACTAAGGGAACTCCGACGCCTTTTCGCACAATTCGGACTTCCCAAGATCATCGTTTCGGATAATGGAACTCAGTTCACCTCCGAGGAGTTCCACAATTTCTGCAGAAGTAAAGGAATCGAGCACGTCCGGTCGCCGCCGTTTCATCCTCAGTCAAATGGACAAGCTGAACGCTTCGTCGACACCTTCAAGCGCTCACTGGGGAAGATGAAGAACAATGGACCAACCGTGGACGCTCTACAGACATTCCTCTTCACCTACAGGAACACGCCGTGCACCGCATCGCCCGATGGACGATCCCCCGCAGAAAACTTCATCGGTCGACGCCTCCGCAGCACGCTGGACCTGCTGAAGCCTAGCCATGCGCCAGAAGCTAGGCCAGACATTGCCATGGAGAAGCGATTAAGCCGACGACACGGCGCCAAGCCAAGGAAGTTTGAGCCAGATGACCTCGTTTACGCTCGCGACTTCCGCTCCGGACAACCCAGATGGTCACCCGGACGCGCTACTACGACACGGCC